AGCAGTGGCCCCAAAACAGATCCTTGAGGTACACCACTAGTAACTGAACTCCAGGATGAACATTTCCCATCAACCACCACCCTCTGTCTTCTTACAGCTAGCCAATTTCTGATCCAAACCGCTAAATCACCCTCAATCCCATGCCTCCGTATTTTCTGCAATAGCCTACCATGGGAAGCCTTATCAAACGCTTTACTGAAATCCATATACACCACATCAACCGCTTTACCCTCATCCACCTGTTTGGTCACCTTCTCAAAGAACTCAATAAGGTTTGTGAGGCGCGACCTACCCTTCACAAAACCATGTTGACTATCCCTAATCAAATTATTCCTTTCTAGATGATTATAAATCCTATCTCTTATAATCCTTTCCAACACTTTACCCACAACTGAAGTAAGGCTCACTGGTCTATAATTACCAAGGTTGTCTCAACTCCCATTCTTGAACAAGGGGACAACATTTGCTATCCTCCAGTCTTCTGGCACTATTCCTGAAGACAATGACAACATAAAGATCAAAGCCAAAGGCTCTGCAATCTCCTCTCTAGCTTCCCAGAGAATCGTAGGATAAATCCCATCCGGCCCAGGGGACTTATCTATTTTCACACCTTCCAGAATTGCTAACACCTCCTCCTTATGAACCTCAATCCCGTCTAGTCTAATAGCCTGTATCTCAGTATTCTCCTCGACAACATTGTCTTTTTCCTGTGTGAATACTGATGAAAAATATTCATTTAGCGCCTCTCCTATCTCTTCGGACTCCACGCACAGCTTCCCACTACTGTCCTTGACCGGCCCTAATCTTACTCTAGTCATTCTTTTATTCCTGACATACCTATAGAAAGCTTTAGGGTTTTCCTTGATCCTACCTGCTAAAGACTTCTTATGTCCCCTCCTGGCTCTTCTTAGCTCTCTCTTTAGGTCCTTTCTGGCTAACTTGTAACTCTCAAGCACCCTAACTGAGCCTTCACGCCTCATCTCTACATTAGCCGCCTCCTTCCTCTTGACAAGAGATTCAACTTCTTTAGTAAACCACGGTTCCCTCGCTCGACCACTTCCTGCCTGCCTGACAGGTACATACTTCTCAAGGACACGCAGTAACTGTTCCTTGAACAAGCTCCACATTTCAATTGTGCCCAGCCGCTGCAGTTTCCTTCTCCATCTTATGCATCCTAAATCTTGCCTAATCACCTCATAATTGCCTTTCCCCCAGCTATAACTCTTGCCCTGCGGTATATACCTATCCCTTTCCATCGCTAAAGTAAACGTAACCAAATTGTGGTCACTATCACCAAAGTGCTCACCTACCTCCAAATCTAACACCTGGCCTGGTTCATTACCCAGTACCAAATCGCCTCTTGTTGGCCTATCTACATACTGTGTCAGGAAACCCTCCTGCACACATTGGACAAAAACTGACCCATCTAAAGTACTCGAACTATAGCGTTACCAGTCAATATTTGGAAAGTTAAAGTCCCCCATAAATACTACCCTATTACTTTCGCTCCTATCCAGAATCATCTTTGCAATCTTTTCCTCTACATCTCTGGAACTTTTCGGACGCCCATAGAAAACTCCCAACAGGGTGACCTCTCCTTTCCTGGTTCTAACCTCAGCCCATACTACCTCAGTAGACGAGTCCTCATCAAACGTCCTTTCTGCTACCGTAATACTGTCCTTGACTAACAATGCCACACCTCCCCCTCTTTTACCACCTTCCCCAATCTTACTGAAACATCTAAACCCCAGAACCTGCAACAACCATTCCTGTCCCTGCTGTATCCATGTCTCCGAAATGGCCACAACATCGAAGTCCCAATTACAATTATTTAGAGATTCACCACTCTCCATTCACCTGCTTCTTTATACCAATATAGTTAGAAGCACTTAAGATGAAAGCTAACTGACAAAAACATTCTCAGCACAGACGCTTGGTGGTATGGAGTACATTTAGCTGAAAAATAAGTGTTTATAGTAAAAATTTGTTGCGGTACCTTATCTCTAACTTTCCATATCTGTTATTCTTGTACCTCCCATGTAGTTGGGTTTAGGTCATACCAACCATGTAAGAGAGCCAACTGTAGTCACATTTCTCCAGGGAAAGAACATTCGACAGATTTCAGCAGGACGTTGCCACAGTGTAGCATGGACAGCTCCTCCAGTACCACCAAGAGCACCAGGTGACATGGTTTCAGCTTCCCTTTTCATTTTAGTGTAGATTGTAACAAGTGAATGATTTCAATGTTGAAAAGTGATGTATTTTCTTGGCAGTGACCAAGACACACATTTTACTGTGCTGAATTATTAGTAGCATTTCTCTTCAAATTCAAAAATAAATGCTTGGCTTTTGCAGATTTTTAACTTACTATTATGAAAAATTGTAACCTATATCATTAAAAAAAGTACATGCTGGGCAAACTCACAAAGTCTGGCAGCATCTGGAGAGACCAACCGTTAACGTTTCCAGTCCAATATGACTTCACTACATTGAAGAAATGCATTGGGCTCAAAATATTAACTCTGGCTCTCACTCCACTGATGCTGCCAGACCTGCTGAGTTTCTTCAACATACTGTGGTTTTGTTTCAGATCTTCAGCATATGCAGTACTTCCCTTTTATAAAAAATGTAAAATGTCTTTGTCAACTCTCTCCTAGAACATTTCCTTTTTAAACCAAGGCTAATGTAAACAAACCTTAGTTATTGAGTAAACAGGTAACAATAATAGCTGAAAGCATTTGTGGTTATCTAAAGTCCATGAGTATTGTATCTTGTCTGCTGCTGATCAAATGTAATCATGGTGTCTGTAACTCAGTGGTTTGTGGTACTTTCATTCACAATTTCTGACTAAATAAATGTTGACATTCTGTTTTTCTGACTCCACTGTAGTAGTGCAGTGGTTATAGCACTTGACTAGATCCCACAAGTTAGATACTCAAATCTGAACATTTTAAAATTGCATCTAATAATAAATCTGGTAACTCGAGTTGAGCAATAAATACAACGTTGCCAACATCATCCACACCCCGTGAAGAACTTCTTCAAATAAAAATCATTTGCTGCTGTGTTTTGGTGATGTTTTAAGCCCTTTGCTTGGTAACCTTTGCAGATATTAATGGACCCTGCTGAATGTTTTGCTTTTGTTTGTTTTCATTTACCCTGCTGTATAATAAGCTTCTAGATTGTGTCTGTTTACAGAGAAAAAAAATTTCACTTGGGAATCAAGAATTCTACTCCAGTATGTCAAAGGAAGTAATCCGAAGCAAAACAGGGCAGAATGCTTTAATGTGAACAGTTTGATGTATGTACAGGGAAAAACGTGTCACCTAATTGTGTCCTCTAGCAGAGCAGTCAGTATTCTGCTGGAAGGAATTGTGTTCACGTCTGTTATGGACCAGACCAGACCCCCTCACAATTTTTAAGAAGATAGCCTAGACCTTAACTTTTTCTTATTTTAAAGGTAAATATAACATGCTGAGTTTCAGATGCAGTTTGATAGGCCAAACTACTTGATGTGAAGCAAAACACCAGCTGTATAGTTAAAATAGAACAAAAGAAAGATGACCTTAGAATATCTTTACTCTATTGGAAAATTTAACAGAATAACAGATTCAGTAACTATTACTAATTAACTATTCCAGTTGTTGTGAAGTTGGATAGAGTACTTTGGATTGGGAAGCAGGAAGTTAGAATTTGGTGTTTATAAATTGCAAGTGGGGGAAGAATTGCATGGTCACTTTAAAAGATGATGTGTTTTTTCTATGCTTAGAGATTTAAAAAGGATGTTTATGATCAGCAGCTTGTAAGTTTACAAGTACACAGAGAGCATGTGAATTTTGTATCAAAAGGCCATATAGTTAGCAAGCCAAGCAGCAGCTTTTTTTTTAAACAAGACAAGTTTTGAATTTAGCCAATCAATTTGAACCAGGCACTTATTTACCAAAAAACAATTAAATTTGTCTGATGGTTTGACAACCTAGGACCAATACTATTGTAAGAAATATTGGTATGTCATCAATGGTATAAAAGAAAGGGGCAGCTGGAAAAACAGCAGAGTTAACAGCCCTCAGCTCTGAGTCCTATATGTCTTAAAGAAATCACCATATAAATAACAAAGGTACCCACAGCACAATTAGTTAACATTCCTGACAGAAGAATCAATGGCAAAGGCAGAGAACATTCCGGAAGACACGTAACCTGGCTGTAATTTTGTGGAACTAAGTTCTCTTTTTATGTAAGTGGGACTTATATTTATTGGAACAGCGTACCATTAGAATCTTGTTTTATTCGGGAATAGTTAGAACGGATTTGTTTGGTTTGCTAATAGTTTAGTTAATTTGTTTGCTGTTAGAGTTAGATAACTAAATCGTTACTTGTTGATTTTTAAGTGTGTGTCAGGGATTTATTTTAGTTAACCATTAGAAGTTGCTGGAAGGCAGTTTACACCACTTTTCACACTCCTTTTACAGATTATAGGGCGAGTTGCACCTCTTTGGGTGTTTCAGTTTTAGTTTCGGGGCGGGGGGGGACAGTGTTAAACCCTGCTTTATAACATAATATAGTAACATTCCATAAACATCCCCCTTGGGCAAAAAGGCAGATTCAGAAATCAGATATTCTTCCATGCAATGCCTGCAATAGGAAGAGAAACCCCAGCTTGTAGCTGTAACTAAGAGAGGGGAAAAAAATTAGCATCTACTTCTTCAAAACTCCAGTTTCTGCTGAACATAAAAGCTCAAAAGAAAACTAGAAATCCTAGTCTGAGAGCTGGCCATATCCATCACGGCTGCTTCTATTATTCCAACTTTTTTTTAAAAATTCCCAAGGCTCAGAAGACATTTACTTTACCACAGACCACGTGTCACCTCTTATTCAATCTCTCTCAAAAGAAACCAGGACAACGTACACCTGTTAGAGCCACAACATTTCACAACGTCTAATGTGAAAATCTCTTCCTCCTCTTACTTAGGTGTATCTGTGCCTCTGCAGCTGGGTTTGCCAGATTCTATTCCACCCCAGTACAGCTCTTTGAAGGAAACAAATATTGAAACAATTAGGGCCAGGTTACGTTTGCTGTACCACTTCTCAGATCTCATGTACTCCTCATGGAGGTTACTTAACCTGAGTCCAAACAATCAGGTAAGCAGTGCTTGGAATAACTAAACTAACATTGAATTGATACAACTTAAGTAAATGCTTCAGAGTTTGAAGACCAGATAATTAATATTTAGAATTGTAATTACAGAACAGCACATCTCACTATAATGCTGGAACATGGGGAATAGTCCAAGGACAGTTAAGACCATTGCTGGCACCAAGAGTGTATACTCTTCCTATGGTGCGTTCCATCGGAAAGACAATGGTCCAAGGCAAAAATTATGGCCCCCAGATTACGGTGAAAAGGATTTCTACCAGGTAAATGTTGTCAATTTTCTTTTCTATGTACTGTCTCACCCTGAATGCTGTATTTTAAAAATTAAAAAAAATTTATGAAGCTCCAATTTCTATATACCAAGTTATTTTCATTTAAATGATGAAAATAATTTCTATATCTGATACAAATATTTCATGGCTTTTCCAGAGGTCGCAAGTGTAAGCCCATCTTTGTACAGATTGCTAGGCAAGTAGTTAAACTCAATGCATCGGACTTGCGGTTACCTTCACGTGCCTGGAAGGTGAAACTTGTGGGTGAGGGTGCCGATGATGCTGGTGGAGTATTTGATGACACAATCACAGAGATTTGTCAGGTAATTAAACCACTTTTATTTTGTCTGTGTTCTTCTAATCAGTGAAAGAGTGGGACTGTATAACTGCCAATTTTTCTGATGAGTTTTAGAAAGACACAGCAAAGCTTTACAGATATAATATCACAATCCCTACAGTGTGAAAGCAGGCCATTCGGTCCATCAAGTCCACACCAACCCTCTGAAAAGCATTGTAGCCAGATCCAACTGCTTACCTTATCCCTTTAACCCTGCATTTCCCATGGCTGCTCCACCTAGCCTGCACGTCCCTGGACCCTACAGGGCAATTTACCATGGCCAATCCACCTAACCTGCACATCTCTGTGGGATGAAACCAGAGCACCCGGAGGAAACTCATGCAGACACAGGGAGAATGTGAAACTCCACACTGACAGTTGCCCAAGGGTGGAATTGAACCCAGGTTCCTGGCACTGTGTGGCAGCTTTGCTGACCATTGAGCCACCGTGCTGCTCTGGCAACATTTGAAACTAATTCCATATGGACCATAAATGAATTTAATTAAAATTTCAGCCAATTTATGGTCATTTTAACATAGATTTAATATTAAATATCATCCTTCAGTTGGTTAGAAACATTAATTTGGATTCACATTTTTAGTTACAGTGCCTGATTTTCTTTTTCATTTAAACAGGAGCTTGAGATGGGGATAGTAGATCTTCTCATTCCTACTCCAAATGTCACGGCTGAAGTAGGCTACAACAGAGACAGGTACAAATTGTTGCTTCATTCCAGTGCAAGTTTTGTTAATGATGAGCTGGTAAGCAATGATGAAGGTTTTGGCTGTTCACAACAGAAAGCACTTTCATGTTCAAAGATTTTTGGAATTAGCAGATTGTCTTTTCAGGAAAGGTTAGATAGGCTAAGCCTGTATCCTCTGTGTTTAGAACAGCCAGAGGTAAATTAATCAAAACATAGAAGATCCTGAGGGAATTTGACTGAATGGATGTGGAAAGATTATTTCCTCGTGGGAGAGTCTAAACTAGGGATTATTGCTTAGAAAGGATACTCATTTAAAACAGAGATGAAGAAATATTTTTTTTCTCCTGAGGGTTGAGTGTCTTTGGAATTCCCTACCTCAAAAGTAGATGCAGAATCTTTAAATACTTTTAAGGCAGATTCTTCCTTTATTCATTCACGGGATGAGGGCGTCGCTGGCTGGGGCAGCATTTATTGCCCATCCCTAATTGCCCAGAGGGCAGTTAGGAATCAACCACATTGCTGTGGGTTTGGAGTCACATGTAGGCCAGACCAGGTAAGGATGACAGTTTCCTTCCCTGAGGGACATTAATGAACCAGATGGGTTTTTCTGACAATCGGCAATGGATTCATGGTCATCGTTAGATTCTTAGTTCCAGATATTTATTGATTTCAAATTTCACCCTCTGCCATGGCGAGATTTGAACCCAGGTCCCCAGAACATTACCTGGGTCTCTAGATTAACAGTCCAGCAATAACACCACTAAGCCATTGCCTCCCGTTAAATTTGATTACCATGGGGATGAAAGATCACTGGGGATATGTAGGTGTGTATAGCTGAGGTTAAAATCAGATCAGCCACGAAATTATTGAATAGCAGATCAGGCTCGAAGGGCTGAGTACCCTATTCTTGTTTCTTGTACATATGCTCATGCTCATGTCCATTTTTATACTCCCTGTCAGAGCACACTGTGCTTTCCGACATACTACTAGTTCAGAATGCTTGTGGTCAGTGACCTATTAATGTTAATGTCTGTTAATCAACATCTCGTCAGGGATTGATTAACTCTAGGTTAGTTAATTTCAAGCAGTAAAATGTATTACAAATTATCAAATGGACATTGCAACAAACCAGGTGATTTCTCTGCGTAGCTTGCAAAAAACTCTCAGCAGGCTGATGGCCAGAAAGAGTCTCAAAATTGTATAGACACAGCAGAGTAAAGTCACCATATTCTTAACCAGATCATAGGGCTGCTCTTTCTGGAAAGGGATAGATGACTGGTGTGGTTTAGCCTCAAGGTCACAACACCTCCGGCAAGGGGAAGAAGTTGACAAGGAGAAGAAGTTGACAAGGAGAGTCCTTCATGGTAAGCTCGGTTGGTACAGGAATTGAACCCACACTTTTGACGTCAGTCTGCATTGTAAACTAGCCATCCAGCCAACTAGGAGTCCTTTAAGGTGAACTCTCTTAAAACCAAGATGAGCATAAAATAGCCAGAGGTGTCACTTGTCCGGAAACTCTCCGCAGATGCTGCCGGACCTGCTGAGTTTTTCCAGCAATTTCTGTTTGTGTTGGCATGGGTCTTCTGTTTGTTCTTCATTCATGGAGTCAAAGGTCTACAGCACAAAAAAGGCCCTTCAGCCCATCAAGTCTTTGCCAATCAAAAACAACCACACCATTTTTATCCCATTTTTTCCAACTCATGACCTTGTAAGCTTTGGTTTTGCAAGTGTAAATCTAAATACCTCTTAAATATTATGAGAGTTTTGGCCTCTACCACCCTTGTAACCAGTGAGTTCCAGATTCCTACCATTAACTGGGTGAGAAATGCTTCCTCATGTTCCATCTAAACCTCCTTCCCGTTACCTTGAAATTATGCCCCCTGTCATCAATCCCTCCACTAAGGGAAAAGGTTCCTGCCTGTACCCTCATAATTGTATACATCTCAATGATGTCTTCTCTCAATTTCCCCTGATTCAGGTAAAATAACCACGTTCTATCCAATCTGTCTTCTTAACAAAAATTCTCCAGCCCAGGCAACATGCCAACAAAACTCCTCTGGATCCTCTCCAGTACAATCACATCCCTCCTATAATGTGGATTCCAGAACTAGCACTGGAAGCTGAGGGTCAACCTGACAGAAGTGTATAAAATCATGAGAGAAATAGATAGGGTCGATAGTTGGAAATCCTTTTCCCAGGGTGAAAATGTCAAATACTCATGGGGACTAGGTTTAAGGTGAGAGGGGGAAAGTTTAAAGGAGAACGTGTGAAGCAAGTTTCTCTTAACACAAGAGGATGGTAGGTTCTTGGAACATGCTGCTGGGGGAGGTGGTAGAAGCAGATATGATAGCAACCCTCAAGATGATAGTGATATGGACAATGTGCAGATGGGATTAGTTTAGAATGACATCCTGGTCATTGCAGATAGGGTGGGCCAAAGGGCCTGTTCCTGTGCTGTATTGTTCTATGTTCTATATACACAATACTCAATGTGTATACCCTCTGTGTAACAAAAAAAAAATTGCCTCTCATGTCTTTTTTATATCGTTCTTCTCCTCACCTTAAAAATGTGTCCCCTAGTCTTGAAATGTTCCATCTTAGGGAAAAGGCAACTATATATCTCATTATTTTATAAACTTTTATCAGGTCACCTCTCAACCTCCTATGCTCCAGTGAAAAAGGTCCCAACCTATCCAGCTTTTCCTTATAATTCAAACCTTCCATACCTGGCAACATCCTGGTAAATCTCTTCCAAACCCTCTTCAGCTTGATAATATCCTTCCTATAACTGGGCAACCAGAACTGCACACAGTACTCCAGAAGAAGCCTCATCAGTGTCTTGTCCAACCTCAACATAACATCCCAACCCTTAGACTCAAAGGTCTGAGCAATGAAGGCAAGTATGCTGAAACGCCTTTTTACCCATCCTGTCTATTTGATGCAAACTTTAAAGAATTATGTACGTGCACCGCTAGGTCCCTCTATTTTACAACACTATCCAAGGCCCTACCATTAATTGTATAAGCCCTACACTTGTTTATTGTACCAAAATGCAGTACCTCACATTTATCCAGATTGACTCCATCTGCCATTTTTCAGCCCATTGACCCATTTGATTGAGATTTCTCTGTAATCCTCTGTAATTCCTCTGAAACCTTCTTCACTGTCGACAATGCCACCAATTTTCCTGTCATCCGCAAACTTACCAACCATGCCTTCGAGATTCTCATCCAAATCATTTATGTAAATGACAAACAAAAGAGGACCCAGAACCGATCTGTGGACTGCCGGCTGCCAGTCCAAAAAGCAACCCTCCACCATTACTCTCTCCTGCCGTTAAGCCACTTATGTGGCAAGCTCACCTTGAATCCCATGTGACCTAACTTTACTAAATAGTCTACCATGCAGAACCTTATAAAAGGCTTTACTAAAATCCAAATAAACAATGTCTACTGCTCCTCCTTTATCAAGCTTTTTAGTAACTTCCTCATAAAACTCCATCGATTTTGTGAGAAAACAATTTTCCTCACACAAAACCATGCTGACTATCCCTAATCAAATGTCCATAAATCCTATCTTTTATAATCACCTCCAACAATTTACCCGCATCCAAAGTCAGACGCACAGGTCTGGAGTTTTCCAGTTTCTCCTTACAACCTTTCTTAAACAAAGGTACAACATTAGTCACCCTCCACTCATCAGGGATCTCATCCATAGTTATGTATGATACAGATATTTCTGCAAGGGGTCTCATAATTTCCTCCCTTACTTCCCACAACATTCTGGGATACATTTGATCAGATCCCAGAGATATATCCACCTTTATATTCTCTAAGACCTTCCAAACTTCCTCTTCTGTAATGTGAACTGTTTTTAAAACATCAAAATTTATTTCTCTGCATTCTCTAGACGCCATTTCTTTCTCCGCAAGAAAAACTGATACAAAATATCCATTTAATAACATACCCACCTCTTGGGGTTCAATACGAAGACAGCCTCCTTGATCTTTAAGAGGCCCAACCCCCTCTCTAGTTACCGTCTTGCTCTTAATGTATTTGTAGAATCTCTGGATTATCCTTAACCTTATCAGCCAATGCTATCTCATTTCCCCTCTTTGCCTACCTGATTTCTCTCTAAAGAATACCCCTACATGCTTTATATTGATTAAGAGATTCAATTGAACCAAGTTGTCTATATCTTAAAAGAAATTCTCTCTGATTCTTGACTAGAACCTCAATATCTGTATTCATCTGTTGTTCCTTAATCTTACCAGCATTACCCTTCACTCTAACAGGAGCAAAATGCCTTTGAACTCTCTTCATCGCACTCATAAACGTCTCCCACTTATCAGGTGTCTTTTTTTTACCTGCGAGCAGTCTACTCCAACCAATTTTTGAAAGTTCTTGTCTCGTACCATTAAAATTTGCCTTACTCCAATTAAAAACTTGATCTGTTATGGAAGGCTTATCCTTTTGCATTACCATTTTGAAACTAATGGAATTATGATCGCCTTCTGGTCACAAAAATGCCCCTCAACCATTACCCTCTGCTTCCAGTCACTCCTTCGGTCTGTTACTTTTGCTATTAGTCTCCCATACAGGTCCATACCAAAACCTTGCTGAAGTCCAAGTATACACCATCAAAAGTAGTACCCTCATCTGCACACCTGGTCACCTCTTTGAAAAATTCAATCAAGTTGGTCAGACATGACCTCCCCTTAACAAATCCATGCTGACTGTTCTTGATCAGTCCCTTCCTCTCCAAATGCAGATGAATTCCATCCCTCAGAATTGCTTCCATTAGTTTCCTGATCACTGAGGTTAGACTGACTGACCTGTGATTTCCATTACTCCTTTCTTGAATAGCAGTCCCACGTGGGCGATCCTCCAGTCCTCTTGCACCTCTCATGTGGCCAGGGAAGAATTGGAAAGGCAGTGTTTGCTAACATTGACAACTCTGGTCAACATTGGGGAACACATGGTTCCTAGCACTGTAGGAACACTGTAGGA